TGACCAATCTGATAAAATCTTCCAAGAGAACTGTTTGATTGGTGAGATTTTTCTTCATGGCATTTCTCTAGCACCAAGTTGACTTCACAATTTTGGAAAAGTTCTGACGTCTTCTTGATCTATCCAAGCTAAGCTTATATCTGAGTTGCCGGTACTTAGAGACGCCGCTTTCATTATGAGGTTGTTAACTTTGGTACATACATCTTTAACTGAAAACAATATTTTCTTATGTCTTGATGTCGATGTGATCTTATTGTAGCTTCGCATTGGCTTTCTTATATTTCAATGTTTCCTGGCCTTGTGATGTGGTATATTTTTAGATTAGTTGATGTTGAAGATGAAGGTTCTATGTATCTTGGAAACAAATACTCCTCAAGGGAATAACTATTCTTGCTGATTTAGTCTGGCATATTTACCACCTGTCTTAAAGATTACCGCCAACTGGCTTGTGGTTGTTGTGATCTGTTTATCTTGTCGGCCTGATGCTTCACCATTGGATCTGTAGCAAGGAGTTCCTCTATATTGTCGCATGTAGATTACTTTGGAGTAGACACTTAACATAGCTTGAAATGGATACAACTCGGGTTCAATATCTTAACATACAAATTAATGTCTGCTCTTCTCTGTGGGTCTCAATTATCGGAATGCACCTTATCCTTTCATATACCCCAACCTTGATGTGACTCTTTCATTGGATATATCTGCCAGTGTGATATATGGTATGATCTACTCCCTAGTTATCCTTTATCAATCACCTTTCTGCCTATCCCTTTCTTAGATGGTGTGAAGCAAATCTTCTGTTTCATCGCCTTTCAGAGAAAACTTGAAATGGTTCATCAAAAGCTATATCGAATGCCTTGTGAAAATGATAGCACTCTGAGTGGGTTTACACCACTAGGGTTTTGATGCAACTTACGAACTTCACTTTCACTTATCCTGTCTTACTATAAAGTTATAACCCACTAACTCCTAAAGCTTAATATGCAAAGAAGCCACATCATCATCCACTAATAATCATTAAATTTAAATATCATGTAAACATGCTATAATATCTATAATTTTATAATTTATTAAATTTTAGAGCTTTTAAAATGCAAGCATGTTAAATCATGATCCCACATAATTCACATAATATTTCAATATATATCTTCATTATTTTTTTTATGATATTTCTCTCTTTTCTTATTAAGTCATATCACATCAATTATTTTTAGTGCTTAAATGATTAATCTATGGTTCAAATTATCTCTCTACCTTTCTTCTCATTAATTCATATCACCTCAATTATTTTTAGCCTTTAGATGATTAATCTATGGTCCAAACTATCTCAATATTTTTCTACTTTTATAAAGTCATATCACCTTACCTTTACATTTGAATTATCATTCTATATACTATTTAAATTTAAATTATCATGAATCATGTTAACATAAGTAATCTTATGTTGTCTAGCTATCTTACACATTATTTTTATTCATTTTTATTCATTGTTAGAGAGTCATGATGGACGGTCACTAATACAAAAATGATTTTCCATGGCGTCACCCTATAATTTTTGCTTGCGACTGTTGTTGATGCGAAAACAACCATACACTAAAACCGCCAGCAAAAGCGTAACGAGCGGTGGGGGCTACAAACCGCCAGCAAAAACCAATTTTTGTTGGCAGCCACGCTAAGATGTCCGCCATAAAAAAACTCTATTTTTTTGAGGCAGACCTCTTAATTGTCAGCCAGCGAATGGTAGGTAAAGAGGACCGTGACAAAAAAAAAAGAGGCGAATAAAATCCACCGCGCGCCCCCACCGTCCACCAAACTCGCCCTCTCTCCGCCTCTTTCCCTTCTCCCTTGGTCTCTCTGCCTCTCTCTCTTCTCCCTCGCATCTCTCCTTCTCCCTGCCTTCTACGGTTGCTGTCGCCACTCCACCACCGCCGCATCGGCCAACGGAGAGGGCCTCAGGAGGGCGGCTCCGGCGCCGGCAGGCCTCGAGAGGGCGGATCCGCCGTCGCCATTCCTCGGGAGCAGCACGGGGAAGGGGGCTGTCGACGAGTAATACTCACGGACTGGATGAATAGAGTATTGGGTACGTTGGAGCAGGGGTCTACGTAATACGACATCAAAACAAACAAAAGACAAGGATTATACTAGTTCAGGCCCCTTATCAGGTAATAGCCCTAGTCCAGTTTATATGGGATTGATGATGATGAGAACAGGTTACAAAGAGAGTAACTGAAACAGGCGATACCGGCAAGATCATAGTTGAGGGATTTGACGAGATCTCCCGGCGAGTTGGCTCCGTGGACTCCGGCTTCGTAAACTTTGGTGGGTGTGTTGGCGATGAGATGCGATGCCTTTTGCCCCTCCCTAGGGGTCCCTTTTATACCGTGGAATACCTTCACCCCCAAGCAAGACTTGGAGATATGTAAACCGACACGATATACTAAAGACTTTACCATTTCCGAGTAGGACTTTAGCAATTCCTTAACTCGTAGGGATATTTTCCATAATTTGAGGCGAATTCCTAACAGCATATACGAGAACCAACCGTATACGCGAAGGTATACCTTATCGGTATATTCCATAAGTCGCAGGATAGAGGGTATGCCTTATCCGTAACCCTGACAGGGGCAGCGGCGGCGGCGCCAGCTCTCAGCGTCAACGACGCAGGGAAAGGGGCGGCGGGGAGTGGATCCGGCACCTCCTCCTCCTTCCCTCTGGCGACGACGGCATAGAGGAGGGATGGCGGCTTGCGCATGCGGCAGCGGTGCTCGAGAGAGGCAAATCCAGCATCGACGGACCTTGGGAGGTGGATCCGCCGCCGCCAGGCCTCGGGAGCGGCGCGGGGATGCGGGCGGCGGGGGCGGTGGCTCTCAGCGTCAACTCTCGGCTCAGCGGCACGGGGGAGAGGGCGGGAGCGGATCCGGCACCTCCTCCCCCCTCCCCACCGGCAGCGGCAGCAAAGAGGAGGGATGGCGGCATTAAGGTGGCTAGCGCAGGCGGCGGTGTATATTTGTGATGATGATGTATTGTTAATCTGTTCTGCTGATGATGCCAATGTTGATATTTGTGATGCTTTGTATTTGGATTGATGCTTGAATGATGTTCATATCCATTTTCAATTTTTTTTGGTAACTTCCTGGATGAGATGGTAGAAAGGGATTTTGGGGATTTATTTTTTTTCCTGGAAAATCATTTTTAGTGGCGGTAGGCATAATCTTGCCGCCTGCAGAAGTCTATTTTCGCTGGCGGTCCACTTAATTTTGCCACCAATAGCGGACGTCTTAGCGTGGCCACCAGCGAAAATCGATTTTTACTAGCGGTCGGCTACCCATCAGCACAAATGATGCATTATTTTCATTGGCCTTTGATAGCTGGCGGTACAGTTGGCCGCCAGCGAAAACCTATTTTGGCTGCTAGCAAAAATTGTTTTTTTAAGTAATGGGTGGCCCTGACGATGAAAATGGTGGCCCCATGGTTAGCAAGCTGGTTTTGGCTGGCCAAAGCCAAGATGGCCTGGCATCTGGTTTGTAAGTCTGTTGGAGCCTCCCCCCGGATTGTCAAATTTTGACTTGAAGATTGAGATAGTAATTCCATTGCAGATGCTCTAAATAAATGTTTTGTTGTCTAAGACCAAACTCAGTCCAGCCACTGAGCCAGTGTACCAATTGCAAGAGCTCGTGAAAGTTTGGAAGAAGTCAAACCTTTTTTAACTACGGTTTTAGGAGGAACACAGATCAACTTTTAGAGGCTAGGCATGTTGACTTGTTTTTAGAAGCTGAACTTGTTGATTTTTGGAAAGCACAATATTTATTCTGTTCTTGTTGATCACACGATGCAAAGTTTGTTAACATTGTTCTGTATATCGTTGCGATTTGTTCTGTTGTTGATCAGCCGATGAAATCACAGATTGTGTTCCTGCTTTCTGTTGTCGGATCAATCTAAAATCGACATATTCGTAGCAATTGTATTTGTACATTTTATTTTATTTTCTCAAAATGATTATCACTACCGGTTTGTAACTAACTAAAATCGGTAATGATATTTGTTTCGTTGCGAGAGATCCATTGTCTAAAAAAGGGCAGTGATGACCACCAGTTATATATGAATCGACAGTTAAAAGTTGTCTAATAATGAAGCATACCGACAGATTTGATTAAATTTCAAGGTTTATCTGCACCCATTATAAAATGACATCCATTTGATAACAGAGATCTATCCAAAATTGCATACTCATTTCCACTATAACTCTTCACCAAATACTGTTCAATATCAAGTGACTATATGTATAGAAATTTCAGGTGACTGAGAATTAATAATACCATTAAAAAAAGTAGGGTTTCTAAGGTTTCATACAACATAGTGTATATGATGGAGTGCTAGGTTATATTCCTTTTACAAGTAACAATAGGGAATAACTAAACAGCATTGAAACGTATATAATTATGACTCCTCTATTTTGTCATTATATGCTATTTTCATCAGATATTTACACATTCATTTAGTCATTAGCTATAAGTGAAAATTTGAATTTTAAAACTTAGTTTATTCTAGGTTTTTTTTTTGTTGAAGTTTATTTTAACATTTAAATTTCTATGGACACTTGCATAGAAGTTTTTTATTCATAAAATATTTTTCAAGTTGTTAATAAGCCGTTTCGCCTATAAATTTAAAAGCAATCAATGGCAATAAGAAGTGAGCACCCCAAATATGATAGACAGAATAGTTGCGAATAAATACTCAAATATGCAAAAATAAAAGCAGGCTTGTCGTAAAAAAGTTTACAAAACTAGCATGGTTTATATTCGAAAACTGGTGGTTAATAAAATATTGATCCCTATAAGCTGTTTTCCCAAAAATATAACATCACTGTTGATTTTTAGCTTTCTAAAAATAATTAAAGCTATATTGTAACTATTTGAAAAGTACAAACGCAACAGTAGTGCACAAATGGTATATCTAGTAGCCTACAATTTCTAATAGGCACTGACAAGCACCGTTAAAACTCGGTGTTATGCTGTAGTACAAATAACACAAATTCATCGATTCTCATACAGAATACCAATTCCATAATTAGTTCAGGCTTCCTGGTTTCTGTTCATAATCATATATACCAACCAGTGAGAATCTGGGGGAAACAATGAAAAGCATAGTTTTAAAAGTGGAATAATTCAGAAGGTAAGATATGTCTGCCAAATGATACATACAAGTGTAGAAAGCATTCTAAACAAGAAACTTTACAAGATTTCAGCCCGTGAGTTCTAAGATGTTCTCCACTGCAATTCCAACTGGATGCGGCCATTTTTCGAGTCAATTAGATGATATTTCTCATTGATCCTCTTATTGTTTATAACATCTGCAAGACTTATGACAACATAGCCAAGATTTTCCTAAAAAGAAACAGCACAGAAGGCCAGAAGGATCAATAGAAGAACGTGAATATAAAGCACTAAATCAGTGACTATCAAGATTTTAAGCTTTAAAGGAGATATCTGCTATAGTACATTCTCTAAATTTCAAAACTTTCAATTGGATATGAACTTTCACAATACAAACTTTTTTAAAAAAACTATCTCTCCGGGAAACAAATCAAGCCAAACTGATATTTTAACCAGAAAATTTAGTTTGGAATTTTTTTAACAAGAAATGAAGGGCAAGGCATGACAACAGCATAGGGATTGAACACACCTAGATTCAAATGCTACATTGTTGTGTTAGTAGTGGTTCTTTCTTTAGTTCTTTTTCGGAGCCATCGACGGCATATTTGTAAACAAAACATAATTTGTGAATAAAACTTTTATATACGTGTTCTTAGCGATCTAAAAGCAAAGGCTGAAAAATAAACTTCGATGAAAAAAACTCAATCAGCTCCAAATGTAAGGTTGAAAATTCAAATTTTGACTGATAAGCATAAGCATAAGTGAAAAGATGAGGCCCTTTATTGCAGCATGTAAACTACGAATGGCCAAGATTATTCTGGATGAATACTTAGGATCAAGAGTAAATATCAGAAGCGCTAACTAGCACTCTAGGCCCCCCCAGGGGCAACTGTAAACAAACTCCTACGAAGTTCTCCCTCCGTAAAAAAAAAAAACAAAAAAAAACAAAAAAAAAAATCAAAACAACTTCTAGCTACGAATCTAAACATAGCTTATGTCAGGTTCGTAACTAAAAGTCGGTTTTTTTTTCTGGGACGGGGGGTAAATGCCCTGCAAAGTAGTGAATGTATCCCGTGATTTTAAATACATTCCCACGACAGAAAATTTGTTCCTTAAATTAGCATATTCAAATATTTCTTGTGGCTCTTAATGTTAATAATCTGTTCTATTTCCCCGCAAAAAAAAATGTTCTACTAAAAACAACTTCAAACTTGGAGGCTGAATTTAGTAATAACTTCATATAAAAAATAACGAAATGAGATGCTGAAAACTGCTTTTGCAGTTATCAACAAGTTTCCAGTGGTTCTCCCCGTACTGGTTATTAGAATTGCAGCTAGAATTGTCAGATAGAACTTTATTTTCCCTGACCAGCTGCTGTCCTGCAGTGGGAACTGGTGTGCCTAGCAATAGTGTTCACTAGTTATAGCTTAGCTGTTTTTCTCAATAGGATTACACAACTAGGAAGTACAAATCTCCATTAATCTTTAAACACTAAAAGTTGATGTCACAACACAAATAGAGATAATCAGATCACAGAAATGATACCTTGGAATGTATACCGATGCTTGGTGGTCTGCTAATGACTTCAATTTGCATTTTATCATTTATGGGTGGTTCCTCGCAGACAAACTGAAATTCTTGCTCCCAACGTGGATCACGATTCTTCTTAATATGCTGCATAAACAGTATTACAAGATCAAACATTATATTTTATAATGTAGTGACTAAAACTACCCATTGATTTCAAAATTTCCTACAGTAAATGTTATTGGTGAAAGTTTATTACACATTTAAACCTGTTTTTCATACCTTGGTCTTCCTTTCTTCACCTCTAAACACAATTCTTACATATGGATTAGTGTGGTGCTTTCCTTCAACGTCTTGTGCTTCATGAACGATAACTACCAGCAAACCACCACCTTCCGGTGTGCCATCAGGGGCTTTTTCAATGGTGCCAGATTCATCACTTGTATCAACATCAGAATCACCTTCCTTGAAAGGCTTATATGTTACATCAACAGTGAGCTGCCCCCGGAACTTGTCATTTGCTGGGTCATTAGCATCCATAGTCTTGTGTAAGTCAAGTGTAAGTGACTTTGCCTCATCAGGAATAAGCTCTTTCAATGGGATAACACTCATTCCAATCTTGTCGTGCTTCCCAACCTGATAAGAAAATTTTATGTAGGATTGAAAGCATCTGGATTAAACAGCTCAGGAGGATATTTAAAATTATTAACCATTACCTGCTCCCAATCGTAAACAGTAAGCTCAAGAGCCTGAGATTCTGGGTCTTTGACAACTAATTTGAAATCTTCATTCCATTCAGGGTTCAAGTTGCTTCGCTTCACTGACGTTTTCTTTGATGGGAGTTTTTCCTCTGTTAGCTTTAACTTCACATATGGATCCGATTTTCCCAGAAAATCCTTTTTGGTGAGTTTGACAGCCCGTACGATGTTAACATGCAAAATTCCAACAGGCTTCTTTTGTGCTCTTCAATTCAATGTTATAAAAAGAAGATACCAAATTAGCAACCAGAAGGACATGCCTTGCAAAATAGTAGATAGATTATAGCATGCATTACTTTGCTGGATCCATGATTGGCACCTCAAGTACTTTTGGCCACAAGTACATGTTTGCTACCTGAGTCTTGATAATCTCCTGCAAGGTAGGGAAAAGTCAACAGTTGCCGACATGTCACCATCAACATTTGTGAAGAAAAAACGCCACAGATTAAGTTAGAGTAGACAGGTGAAAATTTAGGCTAAAATGTAGTAGTGGAATAATCAAAGAAAACCGGATGAATAGGCACTTAAGCAGAAAACTGCGAGTGGTTTAGTGGAGTTTATGTTCTACTTAATCTTTCTCTTATAAGGGATACGTCAAATCATTCATTATTCTATAATTCATGAACACCAGAAATGCAATTGAGATAAATGAAATATAACCCTATGGGATATATCAGTATATCCTAAATATTTGATGATATGGAAACTATGTTACCTGAACAAATACATAGAGACCTGGAATTGCCATGAGATCTGCTCCTAAGAGTTTCAGACCAAAATCAACATGTGGCTGCAAAGAAGAATACAAGCATTGACGATTCCATCAGTAATTACCAGAATGAATATATGCTTGAGTGTTTACCTTCTCCATAAGTGAAACAACTATTTTAGCAAAACAAGGAAAGCTAGGCACCAAGGGCTTCAACGTTATGCGTGGTAGAGCAAAAACATGCAAATCAATAACCTACAATATTAGACATATAATACTGGATCAATATAACTTTTGAATAGAATTATAAGTCTGCAAATTAGCCTAATCCCATCAGGACGGAATCAAAAAAATATATATTTCCTTTAATTTTCACACTTTCTCTTAAATGGTTGTACCTGTGCAGTTGCTTTTAGCCCAAATGCTTTGACAACAACAGTGATATTCGGATTTCCAGCCCACTTGATGGAAGGTTCCATTATAAGTTCTTGCTCATCTGTGGTGTAGACCTTCATCCCTATATGGAAAGTTACGGAAATGCGATATCATCTCATCATATACAAAAACACATCAGTCAGACACAATAACATCATCTAGGTGCTTAAGAGAAATATTTAGAATTAGGTAGAATTAGGTAATGCAGAGCAGAGTTATGTACTCTGAAATTATTGTGTATTTCAGGTAATGCGGAACTATCATAGTGGAAACATGCTGGTACAGATAGTAAACCTTGAATTCATATGTAGCACCATATGTTCATGCGCTTGACTTAGCGAGTAGTAATGAGATAAGTTCATATAGATACTACAACACAATGGCATATATTCATACAGAGCTTAGTACTTATCGTAAATTTTGTTTCACAATGGTAAATGAACTGTCAGATGGCTTGTTGGTTTGCATCTGATCCGAGGGAGGAGAGCAGGAGGTCATGATTACCCGGCTAGCACCGTTTGTTTAGATTGCTCACATGGGAAGCGTTGGGACATTTCGCGTTGGGGTCTGGCACATGAGTTCATGGTCGACAACTCTGGGATAAATTGGGCCTGGTCATTTGGGGCTAGCAGAATTCCAGATGAATACAGTACACTGAAGCAACGGTTGGTAGAACAGTGAAACCATTTCAGGCTTCGTATATGGCTGGTTATACTATTTACCATTTCCAGGTGATTAGGTCGGTATAAATCAAAACAAGCGTCAATTGGTCAGGAATCTCTGTGTCATTTGCACTCCTATCATCACACGACCAATGTACAACTTAAGAGTCTACCTGGCAGATTTACAAAATCATTGTCACCCAATTTGGCCTAACATAATCTTAGGGGCAATTATATAAGCAGATTTATATAAGCTGATGGTAGGATCAAGTGGATAACATATCTTGCTATAGATTTATATGAGAAGCTAAAAGCCCATTTCAGCATAGAACCTTAAGCCACATTGTAGATTTGAAGAATTGCATGTTCAAAAACTTACAAGTCAAGTGTCCAACGAAAGTATACATAACATTTTGGGTGGTATATTCGATAAGTGGATCTACTTGGCTTATCTATACTCCTTATAAAAGGGAGTAGTGGTGGTGGTGGTTCTTCCACCACCCCAACTACCAACTCCCAACTTTTTTAAGAAAAGAAAATGATATGTGGGGCTAGAGGGGCCACATCTCAACTACTCCCACCAACTCTCTACTTTTCGTGGGAAGGAAAAAGGATTTATGCGGGACTAAAAAGGTCCACATGTGATTAACAAATATGTTCAACAATTAAGAGATATTAATAACATGTTAATGATAATTTTCTTTGATTAAAATTCCGTTGCAACGCACAGGCAATATGCTAGTATGCTATAACTCCGCTAACATACATTTTTTCTTTTTAAGCTAGGTCGAAGAGAGCTTTATCACAAAAGTGCTTAATTGGCACCATAATCCTGCACGTTTCTCATTGACGCGGAAATGAGTGTTCAAACTTCAAATAGGTTTACCTGGATTGGATGCCTAAGTTAAGCTAGGCAGTTACTTTATTTTTGGTTTCATTTTATTAGTGATTATTGATAATCCAAATCCAGATAGAAGCCTGAGTGCTTGAGCAAGAGTAGGGCCAATAACATGAGTTTGTTAGGAACATAAGTGGGCTGGGCTGGCTCCGTCGCTTCCAAAGCCTAGCCCGAGAGGAGAGGAACTACAAAACAACAGAGTATGCACTTCTAGGGGGAGATCGATCGAGCAATCGGCGAATGGCGAACGGTGGCGGCGACCTGGTGGCCGGTTGGCACCTTGTCGATCTTCTTCCTCCCTACCTTCCTTCTTCCTCTTCCTTCCAGAAGTTTCTGGCATCTTCCACCAGTTGAATTCCCTTAGTTCATCCTCCTCTCCACCTCTATTTACTGGAGTTTGGTTGCTATTGCACTGGATGCTTGCATATTTGAGTGGAATTGAGATTGGAAGTCTCGGTTGCTAACAGAGTTGTAAGACTGGAATGTACACCTAAACAACTTGCTGTTGCTAGGTATACTCACATTTGGCACATAAGCTATAAATTCAATAAAGTAACTTTAAAAATAATATAAACTAAGTGTAACTGGCCCTTTGGGCCATACTCTTTCTATTCTGACAAAGGACTATGTAGTTTCATAACTGACTCTTCAACAAAAATGTGATATTTCACATAAAGTTCATAAATATAGTTGTTTCAATTAGCCGTGGATCTGAATCTTCCATGGTTACTTGATCAAATTAGTTAGGCATTCTTAGCATGAAAAGTCTTTTTACGATGTAGCAACTTTTGGCTAAAAAGTACTTCTGTGTAATTAAATTGATCCAAAATGTCTGCAACTAAGATATAAGAGTAGAACTAACCTTGAAATGTTGGTGGTAATGAACCTAATGTTAATGTCTCAAATTCAACCGAATCAATCTTATACTTGGCAGTGTTCTCAGCAATAATTGGCTTAGCGATTTCCTTTGCAGTTTTACATATTGCCTGTAAAAGACAATATTTACAAAACAGTGCCAAATAAAAACTTGGACAAATAATATTGCACTAGCTTGTATGAGCCAACCTTGTCAAGATAAGGCCAAATGTTTTCGACAAACTTGTTAAGCCAATCAATCTTCATAAACAAAAAGTTAAAATCAGTAACGTTAGACTATAGGCCTATTAAAATAGAAACTTAAGATGGCATGACAAAATATAAGCTTCACGTTCACCCAAAGAGTAAGCATACCCGGTCAAAGTCTGGATTCTTCACCCAATGAGGAACCTCAGGAAGCATGCTTTCTAGAGATTTTGTATCAAGTTCAACAAGTGGCCTGATTACAGGGTCCTGTGCAATTGACATTCAAACAGCAAGTGGTATGTTATGTAATGGCAATATAAGGCTGAATCATGCAATCACAATGACAGTGATAGAAGATACAGATCGATCAAATCTCAAGCCAGTATACCAAGTCATGGTTAGAACATCTAAGAGACTAACCAATCTATTGAATGCTAATAAATTTATGCATTCTACCAGATAGTATGTACAAGCTGTCCACTTTTATTCCATATGTTCTAACAGAAGTTCAATTTCAACGGTGCAAATTAGTAAATTCCAAAAATACAATATGGCCGTCATTTGCCCGTGCAAGCATAAAACAGATATTCAGGTTGTCCTGGAACCACTCCAAGAATAGGTTGTCCTGGAACCACTGGAGGAAGGAATTACTGTGATTTTTGTACTTAGGTGTTTTCTGTTGGTCAAGTCAATTCCTCTGACCCATTGCAAAGGACGAACAATATTCAATCTGAAACAGGAAGAAAAGTAGAGCACCCTGACCAGCTCTTTTTTTAGACCAAAAGCGGAACCCCTGCTTCCATACAAAGCAAATAAAAAACAAGAGTACTAGAGAGACCTTTTGAGGTCGCTACAAAAGGGAAACAAAGCCGCCACCTCCATTTACAGAGACCTTGAAATTCAAAATAAAGTCCTTGAAATTCAGGAGTACTAGCAACGAACATCTGATTTGCTTTGGTACAAAATAAAGCCCTTGAAATTCACCTCATGCATAACGAAAATTCGTAGATTGCAAATTCGTCTTCTCATAAATCACATCCAATCAGATGATTATTCTTCACATCCACAGTAGAGATGCAGGGCTAATTCGAAGGATCCCATTAGAACACAATCCTACTGTTATACGATGAAAGCAAGCTAACTCCAGCTACCCTATACAGCAAGCCCAAACCAAAGGAAAGAACTAAACGATGAGTTTTCAGGAATGCATATCACTGTATCATCTCGTACAGAGAAGCCTCGAAAACCATCCCGTTTCTCGCTTCCAGCTCCACTAATTCACCCCGATGCCAAACCACAACGAGGCATCCAACGAAAAGAAGGGTGGCGAATCGTACCTTGACGTCGGTGGGCTGGAAGTAGATGAAGAGGTAGTACCCAATCACAAGCCCCATGGTAACTCCCACCCCAAACCCGAAGAAACCCAGCACAGTGCGGAAAAACCCCATCTCCTCCCCACCACCGCTCCCCCAACGCGAGCCGCCGAGAAGAGCAAGAATCCGAAAGCGAGCGCCTCAGATCACATGAAGAGGAGACGTGAAGCAAGCAACAGGGGCAATGTCAAACGAGGAAGAAGATGCGGATGGGATCTAGGAGAGGAGAGGATGCGTTGCAGCGCGCACAGTAACAGCCAGGATGGCATTGATAGCAGCATCCCTCGCTCGCTAGTGGTGGTAGGGAAGGGCCATTATTATCTTCCTAATAATGGTGCGGCAAATGGGGTTACTAGGCTTAATTATTATCTGCCCAATCGGCCACACGCTGCTGAATTGCTCATGGTGATTGGTGAGGCGAGATCGATGACGAGGTCGCCGCTGCTGGCGGTGTCGGCGCACGCTGATGGCAACGCTCCTCCCACAAGATTTCGGAAACGGTTTTTTTTTTAATTTTTTCGTTCGGGAGTACCTGTATATCTTCCGAAAAATTTTTAATGGTCGTATCACACAATTAAAATTTGATAGATACAGTAAAAGGCAAAAAAAACAACTAAGAAACACCATAATGGACACTAAATTATCATATCTTCAAGAAAAAAACCAAATCCAATATAAATTTTAAAACTTACATGCGAAGATTTAAAAATTACACTGTAACTTACAAAATTACAATATAAGTTTCATAAATTACAATGTAACTTAAAAAAATGCACTGTAAAAATTTAAGTGAGAAAATCGAGTGAGAGATAAGAAAAAATCTTTCGAGTGAGATATAGCAAAATCGTTTTCGTTTCTAGGATGCGAGTCCTGTATCTCTCGACGGGCCTTTTCTGTGATTATTTTTTGGATCGCTTTCTGGTACAGCACCGTGAGGTCCACGAGCTGTGTATCCTTTTCCCGTTGATCCTCCGTGTACAAGATTGTCGATATTGTTTCTTTCTTTAGGTTTACAGAAACAAATTCAGCAGAACTTTCATATTACTCATTTACTCATGCATGGAAAACATCATAAGCTCTACTATTATACTCAAATAGAATTCAGATAAAATTCATGTGAAATTCAGACTTACTAAACTGAACCAATTGAGCATATCTCTACTATTATAAAAATTGAAGATGTTTTTACCGGTACATTGGTACATCATCCGTGTATGAGTCGGTTTTTAAGTTCGTTCGCTTTTAGAAATACAGATTTGTATTTGAGTGAGGTTTTAAATCCGTTCGCGTTTGGAAATACAGAAGGAGTCATATAAAAAATATGTTTTAAAAAACTTGTATGCTAACTTGAGATGATCTGACTCATAATTGCAGCTCATGATTTTCTAAAAAACATATATACAAGCGAATTCTCACAGTGAAACTATTATAAAAATTAAAGATGTTTTTGTCCGTACTTTGGTACATCATCTATGTATGAGTTGGTTTTTAAATTCGTTCGCTTTTGGAAATACAAATCTGTATTTGAGTCGGGTTTTAAGTTCGTTCCCTTTTGAAAATGCAGAAGCAGTTGTATAAGAAGTCGCTTTAAAAAAAACTTACATGCTAACTTGAGATGATCAGACTCCTAATTGCAGCTCATGATTTTCTAAAAAAATATATATCCAAGCGAATTCTCACAATTAATTTCACCTTAACTAAACCGTACAATAATAATAAAATTAAAATAGCCTTCACCCATTGCAATGCACGGGCAATTTTTCTAGTCTATATACTAATATAAAAAGAAGTTGTCCCTAGCAATCTTACACGTGAAATCATCCCCTGTCATCTCATCTGTGTATCCACTATCTCATCTAATCTCATCCGTCCGCTATCTTCCTCGTTGTATGCTATTCATCAGTGATTCCACCGACTCCGCTGCATAAATCCCCGCCACGATGACTCCGCCCCCCGAATCTCCGTCGTCTCCTCGCTCTGCAAGCATCCTCCCTCCTCCTCGCGACGGATCTGCAACGATGCACCGCTAGACTAGCGCACCGCTGCCGTGACTCCTCGCCGCACGCATCCCCTTTCCGCTAGAGCCTTGCCCGGGACTTTCCCCGATGGCGCCGTGGTGCTTTTGTGCCCGCGTCGTCCAAGTTTGTCCATCGTTCCGCCAAACCTTCTTCAAGATTCTTGGGAACTTGTGATTTGTGCACTTCTTCAAGGTGAAGGCCATTGGGTTTGCCTGGGATCATCTCACTCAGGTATTGGATCCTTCTAGATTCCCTGTTTATTCTCATGCAAGTGCTACCGTGCTATTTTGAGCTGGTTGGGACTGGAGTCACCAAGTTAGTTGGGTTGGCATAAAACTGTTTTGAGCTAGCGAGTTGCATATTTCGAGGTTGTTCAGTGAGGAAAATTGAAGGGTAGATCCGTTGATTTGGGGTTATAATGGTACTAATCATCAAAATTCCTACTGATTATTGACATAGCAATTGAATGGTTTAGCTGTATAATAATGTTTAGTTATATATAATTGCTGAACTAAATTATATGTTTACCAAACTGCTTTGATTTTTATCCAATTCCTCTTGGAACATCAGGTCAGCAGCTATCAATTTAAGAAATTCCTTTTTCCATATTTCCCATCACATTTTGAGTCGAACTATATTCCTGAATTCATCTATGGGCATGCTGCTCGCCTAGCGAGTCACTCTCCACAAAGGGTGCCCATGTGCTGTTACTATTCATGCTATTTGATTCTTTTGTGTGTACATATCCCAAAAGTTTGATTGCATTTTTTAGGTAGTTGACAGATGAACTAATATACTTGCAAGTAACATATATACGGCCGATCATCAATATATGTCTTTTTTAACACTAATTTGGCATCTTTTTTTATCGGTGAATGACATGCAAAACACATATTTCAGGGGTTTGCCATTGCTCAAATACCATTATATGTGTCGACGGGGGATACCCGTAGACCGGATATAGATGGTATTGGGGTATGTTGGTACGAGGATCTACGTAGTACGACATCAAGCAAACAGAAAACAGGGATTATACTGGTTCAGGCCCCTTGATAGGTAATAGCCTAATCCAGTTGGTATGGGATTATATGGTTGAAACCACAGATTACAAAGGGAATATCAGAACTCGATGATACCGACGAGACCGTAGTCGAGTTGGTTCGACTAGATCTCCCGGCGACTTGGCTCCTGTAGGCTCCGACTTCATAAGTTGTGGTGGATGTGTCGGCGGTGAGATTCTATGCCTTAGGTCCTCCCGGGGGGTCCCTTTTATACCGCAGGTCAGTTGATCTCCAAGTAGAACTTGGAGATATCAGACCTCACACAATATAGTAACGACCCAGTCCTTGTCTGAGTAGGACTCCTTCCATCCGTGGACTCCGTTTCTGTTACGTGATGAATTTCCTTAACGTGTACAGGAAACATCCGTATACGCGCAGGTGTACCATATCAGTGTACAACATACATCCAAGGGTAGAGGGTATACCTTATCCGTAACCCTGACAATATGCATTGTTTCAAGTTGTAGAACCATACTATCTTTTTTTATGAAAATGCTGAACCATAATATTATCATTTACAGTATATATAATTATACATTTATGTGTCCATCTATACTCTTTATAGGCTATTTTCAAGTCTTAACTACCAATGTCTCTACAGGAACGAGCTCCACTTGATGATCTTGCTAATTAAAGTGCCATGACATTATCAAGCTCTAAGGACGGCTTGTCATAACAAGCTATAGTTTTTTTTTTCGGGGATAACAACCTATAGTTACTTCTATGAATTTTGTGAAATAAAAGATGATCCATTTGTGACCATTGTTCGAGACTAAAAACATTACAGATTGCAAGAGCAAAAGGCAATAATGTGAGGGCAGGGAGAAAATTCTTTTTCAGCAGAGTTAAGTCTGTGACCATGTTTTCATAGGAAAATCCATTATAAAGAAATGAAATGGAAACAACTTCCCATGGTGATTTCATTGACCATCGAGGACATGAGTGATGTAGGATATCAATGCAGTAATTCACGAAGTGAAGAATGCATGATTTAGTTGGAGGAAAGGGAATACATGATGAAGATGAATTGTACAATAAATTGTCTTATGTTAAATTAATGTTGTTTTCTCATCTGGTGTTTTGTACCATTGTAATACTCCAGCTGTTGTAATTAATCAAGTGTTACCAATGTTGAAGTGGTCTGTACCTTGTAGCAGTCTAGCAGAGCACTAAATTTTGTTCTGCGCAAAATTTGGGATAAAGTGAGAGAAGGGGATCCTGTTTACAAATTTCAAATAAATTAGTTATAAAAAATCCAAGCAGTTTAAAACCAGAGCAAGGCATTCCCTTCAGTTTTGTTTGCCCCTTTCCACATAGGAGACAGTGAAAAATTCTAAGAAATGGCATTTCCTTCAGTTTTATTGCCCCTCTTTTCACATAGGAAACAATTAGAAATTATGTACGCAACATGAACAATTTTTATTTACACCAAGATTTTCTGAATGGTGTAATACTAAATGGGGCAGATTAAAAAAAATTGATGTCACACCTTGATGCATGAAATTACCACCTCCTTTTTAAATATATAACGTTGTTGATTTTTGGACGTGACGTTTGACCATTTGTTTAATCTAAAAATTATGTAAATTTAAGTCATGCTTAAAAGTCCTTCTAAGCATGACTTATATTTATATCTTTGCGTATTCATACTAAAATTTTGAATTAGACAAATATTCAAATGTCCAAAAGCCAACAATATCATATATTTAAAATGCAGATAGTACATTTGTTGTTTATTTGTTTCTTAACTCATTGCATTTATAATTTATCAAATATTACACATTGGTTGTTTTATTACATATGTGGATTCCACGTATACACTTACATTGGCTTATTGAAATGCCCATCCTAGCTTTGGACGATATACCACCGTAAATTTGATTTTTGATATAACATATTTTTACAATTGTATTACACTGGACTTAATTCATATTGGTCAAGACGTGCATTGCACGTGTAAGATTACTAGTAGAATTGCTAAAGAGGCTTAAAGAATCATTCAATAAAATTTGATCGACACTTAAGTTGGGTGTAGTATACTAACCTTCCAAAGTTTCGATTGTGATCGTGTGGTCAATTGGACGATAAACCTGGCTGGCTGGTACAAATTCCTGCAAGTAGGGATGGCAATGGGGCCCCGACACCTCACACCCGGTGGGGAATTACTCTATTAGGGGATGTAAATGGGCTAAAACTACCATCCATGGGGCTGAAAACGGCAAAAAAGAAAAGCCCTCATCGGGTGGGCC